TACTACTACTACTACTACTACTACTACTACTACTACTACTACTACTACGTAGAAATGTAGCTGCGAATTAGTAATACTGGTACTAACACTGGTGATTCCTTTTTTAGAGAGGACGCAGATTAAAGCCATCGCTGGGGCTCATAATCCTTTGATCGCAACATGGAGTGTGAATCTGGGTTTATGCTACAAGGATTAACTACGTGTTTGGGCTCTGAGTAGAGCAGGGCTTGTCTTGGTTTCCACTCTCTCAACTGTATCTATCAGGCTTTGTCCGTTTCTACTGGACTGCGAGGACTAGGATACGGATAGGGTACGTGCCTATGCTAAAGTGATAATTCTAGTATCATGTTTACTAAAGCCAGTAAATAGTATACTATAATACGGCCTGTACGTGCTTTTCAAGAAGCCGGTGCCAAGTATGCACTCCCAATCTGTATGAGGTAAAGTTATAAGGTCATGGGTTACCTAAGGCGTTATTAAATAATAGCGCAAGTTCTGCCATGTGTTTATATCGAAAATTTTGCCGCCCATACACTGCCTATATCCACACTACAGTATCTAGCTTTAGCTTTGACTTTACAGAACGTCTACTCATTTCTCGTCGATCCCAGCAGGGAGTGTGAACTTAGGTTTCTGTTATTCCGAGTTGTTACATGTTTGAGGCCCGAAGCACATCAGAGCTTTCCTTGGTGTCCACCCTCTCAACTTTATTGGTAAACGAAACGTCATTAAGAAATAGCTCAAGTTCTACCATGCCTTTACACCACATGGTGCCATTTGTGGTTTTCAGGCATAACTGTTGACCTATTACAGTACCGAACGCTCTCTTTAGGTTTAGGTGACGTCTCCTGTCTGCTCACTCACCTTTAGTAGGTGTAAAAGACAGGCTCAATAAGACCAAGAGGAATATGGCTAATCCAAGCACTACTGCTATCTAGCAATGTAGCTGCGCGTTAGTAGTACAGGTAATAACATACATTTGTCAAACGGGACGCAGATTAAAGCCATCGCTGGGGGTCATACCCCATGATCGCAACATGGACTGTGATTCTGGTCTTAAACTATTCCGAGTAAGTACATGTTTGGTTCCTGAGCACAGCGGCGCTTACCTTGGTTCCCACTCTCCAACTCTCTCCATTTCTACTAGGTTCGGACTACGAGAACTATGCTAATGCCTTTAGAAGTCTGTGCCTATGCTCAAGTGCTAGTTCTAGTAATCATGCTTACTAGAGCCAGTAGAAGTACATTAAAGTACGACCTGTGTGTGATTTTTGAGAAGTCGGCATACAGTAAGCACTCCCAATCTGTATGAGATAGATTGATTTGCTTATGGGTTACATAAAGCGTTATTAAATAATAGCACAAGTTCTCACATGCCTTTATGTCGTAAAATTTGCCGTCTGTAGACTACCTATAGGCTTATTACAGTATCTAGCTGTAGCTTGGACTTTACAGAACGTCTACTCATATCCCCTCGATTACAGCAGGGAGTGTGAATCTAGGTTTACCCTACTAGGTTCGGACTACGATACTGCTGCTTAAAGTACGTGCCTATGCTAAAGTGTTTATTCTAGTAATCATGCTTACTAAGGACAGTAAATATTATATTATAATACGGCCTGGGTGTGCTTTTAAGAAGTCGACAAGCAGTATGCACTCCCAATGTGTATGAGATAAAGTGATTAGCTTATGGGTTAAACAAATCGTTATTAAATAATAGCATAAATCCTACTATGCCTTTATGTCGTAACATTTGCCGTCTGTAGACTACCTATAGGCTTATTACAGTATCTAGCTGTAGCTTGGACTTTACAGAACGTCTACTCATATCCCCTCGATTACAGCAGGGAGTGTGAATCTAGGTTTATGCTATTGCAATTAACTATATGTTTGAGGCCCGGAGCACATCAGGGCTCTCCTTACTTTCTGCCATTTAAACTCTGTGTCATCTTATTGGTTGACGAGATGTAATTAAGCAATAGCTCAAGTTTTACCACGTCTTAAGGCCGCATGGTGCCATTTGCTGCCTTCAGGCTAACTTTTGACCTATTGCGTAGCTAACTGTATCTTTGGGTTTTAGGGGACGTCTAATACGAGAGCAATAGGCTTCATAA